AAGGCAGGAAAATACAAACTGACATATTTAATCAAAACAAGATCATATGAAATAACAAGCAAAATGAAATGTCTGTCAATGGTTTAATTACAGTACAAACAATATAAATAAAGCATCATCGAGTCATTGTGAAACATAAAGTTGCTGAATGAGGTAATAGAAAACAACCAAAAAAAAAAAAATAAAATAAAACCATCTGTGGATAAACCCACGCTGCCTTCCATCTCTATACACTATTTACAGAAACAGAAAGCCGGCTGCAGGCTGGGTTGGCCTCGCCCCTGCCTAGAAGTGCATCTCGGTTGTCACCTTTGACCTGCTCCGGCTCCCCTTTAGGAAACACACCCCCGTGGCAAGATGAGGACCGAATTCCAAGCTGGCAGAAGGGAAGAGCCAGGGCGGGAGACCTGGCCCCGGGACTGGATCCACCCGCCCCTCTCCAGGCTGAGCCCCACAAGGGCTTCCCCAGCGCTCAGGTGCTCAGGGCTGGGACAGCTGCAGTCTGGAGAATTAGATGTATTCTAGACACAAAAACCCACTCAGGAGGGAAACTGATGCTTTTCAAGTTTGCAAGAAGGAATTTTTTCTAACATGACGGTGCTGGTCCCTCTCCCCATTCTTAATGCCACGAAGCAGCTTCTAAATGCACTCTGCCATCCACCATGCCAGTGCCCAACCCCTCCAGTCACCTGTGTACCCTCAGAACAGCTGGGCTGAGACCCTGCTTGGACCCCTGGGGTTGGGCGAGGTCCCTCATGTGCCAGCCCGGGTGGTGCGTGTGACCCGCTCCCCCGACCGGCCCTGGCTCACGATGCCCTTGGAGCCTTCTCTGTTCTCCCACCCTGAGAGCCCAGGCAGGACATGCATTTTCCCAGGCACCTCCAGGAATGTCAGGGGACAGCCCAGGGCCATGGTGCTGGGCGGGGGGCTGGGCTGTCTGCCAGTGTCTGCGCAAGGCCCATCAGGATTCCATGCTGTGGATAGTCCTTCCTCAAGTGCTGAGGCCCCTGCCCTCCTCATGCCCAGCTGCTGACCGAGTGTGCTTCCAGTGTGTTCTGTTTGCCACAGCTCCCCAAGCAGCTCAGACACTAGCTTCCTGGGCCAGTGTGGACCACTCAGCACCAGGGAGACGAGGGTTTAATCTCATTTAGGGGCAGCTGTTCCAAACAGCAGGTGTGTGATGGGGGTTTGTTCCCGTGGGAAGAGTCCCCTATGCACTCACGCCCCGTTTGGTTCCTTTCTTTCACCTGCACCTGAAGACAAAGGTCATGGAGTCCCCCCCACGGCACATTCTAGACCAGTCCGACGTGGACTTCGACAAGGAGTGTCTTATCATATGGCTTCACCATCCTCGGGTCGGGGGGGGGTGCTCTGTACAGATGCCCTGTGCCAGGCCAAAACGAAATGCCCCGTGCCAGGCCAAAATGAAAAACAAGCCCTGAGCCAGCCTCTTTCACATTCACGAGGGCATCCTGTTTTGGGCACATGGCACAGCTGCCTAGCCTGGGTGTCCCAAGGCCGGATGCCACAGCTGCCCGCTGGTCTCACCCAGCGCCCATGGGCCTGAGCTCTGGGGCTTCCAGAGCCTCAGCCAAGAACAGTTCCACCCAACAGGCCAAAACCTCAAACCAAGTGCTGCCATGTTACACCAAAACCAGAACCTCATAGAGAAAGACAGGAAGGAGGGGTCTTCAGATTTACGTTTGCTTACCGCTGCTCTGGGGTGGGGAGGGGACGGTGTTTACTATGCTGGTGAACCTAAATACTTTCTCATACAACTCACAGATTTAAAAAAGACTTGTTGGTTTCACAGAATCCCTTTCCAGAATCACCTGCCGACGCACACATGTGATCTGAAGAAAGTCGCAGACATACTGATTAAATGGGGGGGTATTAATATTTCAATCATCTATTTAAGGGCAGTACTTCTCTCTAAGGGAAAAAAAGTTTGTGTTTTGAAACAGTAATATCTAAGGAAATACTTCTTTCTTTATGGAGAGGCGAGGAGTCTGCCACAGGGGTTCCTGTCTAATCACAGACAGGCACTGGCCAATTCTCTCTAATCACAGCGCAGCACCCCAGGGGCCAGCAATCACCGTCTCTCCGTACCTGTGTTGGAAGTACCCATTTGAGGACTGTTTCTTTATGATCCAGCCACTCCAAGGAGATACACCTGCGCCCCTTCTCTCTCCCTCATCATGGGAGGAAAGCTGACATTTTGTTGGAATGTTCATGGTTAAATGACAGAGGACCCATCCCCATGGGACACACAGGGCCGAGGCAGAGCTGCCCATTGGGCTGGGCAGGGCAGGGGGGTCTCCCGGCCCCACTCACTGTGGACGGTGCCACGCCTGGGCGTGCTGGCCTGACCTGGCAGGACGGGATGGCATTAAAGACACATGACTGTAAGGGCTCCCTGAAGAAGGCCACTCAGGAATCCCAGCGTGAACCACGAAAGGTGGGAAATGCACGCCTTGAAGCCAAAGGCCCTTATTTAGCTTTTTGGGGAAGGATGGGGGTGACGATCATTCAAGATGTGACTTCACAACACGTGAAAGCCCTGTCCGAGGCGGCGGCTGGAAATAAATGGTATTTCCTTTGAAGGAAAGAGGTGTCTCCAGCACTTTTCTATCTGAACTCCTTCCTGACTGCTTTTCAATTCGTTTGCTTGAAGGCCATAAATACAACCCCGCCACGTTCTAGAAAAGTCTCCACAACCGTGTTTGGGGGGGTGAGAGACGGAAGCAGAGCGGATGCCATGCGGGGAGAAGTGGCCCATTTGGGTGCAGGGTTTGCTTTCCAAACACCTTTGCCTCCTGAGTAGTTGCTGAGGCCTGATCATACCCATCTCAGGAGAAGTTACATAGTTGCCAGGCTTCCTAGCTGCCGCAGCAGGAACGTGGATTTCCCCTCATTTACAGAACATCCTAAATGCAGTGGGGGAGAGATGGAGTCCTGGGCGGCATGGGGACCCACAGCACCTACTCCTGCAGAGGCTGTAGGTTGAGCAGGTCACTCTCGTGGGGTAAGATGAGCCCACCAAGTTCGGGCACGGGACACACTGGGAGGCTGGGGAGGGGGAGAGAGGGCAGGGCCTGTAGCCATGCATGGCCGGGCCGGCCCGGGGTGCCCTCCAGCAAGCTCCAATTTCAGATGGGAGCGGGGAACGCCAAGCGAGGCCCAATGCAGGCATGAGTCACAGCAGCTCATGGCGATGGGAAGATGGCATCTGAAGGGAGGGATGCTGTCCACACTAACACCACCAACAGTCTGTGGGGGAGTCGGAAGAGGTGCCTTGGCCCTGACACAGCCCCCGCAAACAGCACGAGGGCAGAACTCAGCCCCTTCTTCGCCTCCAGAAAATCAACCTCAGACTACAAAGCAAAAGACACATGTTGAGAAAAGTGGGCAGGTTCTGGAGGGGCTCTCGGGGAGAAAGGGCCTCCTCCTGGGCGCCTCCCCGACCCTCCGATGCTGTTCTCCACATGTGGAGGCCCAGGGCAGGGCACTGGCAGGCTGAGAGAGGAGGCCCCAGGCTCTGCTGGTGGCAGTTAGCACATGTGCCCATCATGGCCTTCCCGGGATGCAGGCTGGGGGCCAGCGTCACCAGCAGGTGGGTTTCCTGGCATGTGCTCTGGCTTTGGTCCCATCAGCGTTTCTGTTCTTAACAAGTGCTCCTGTTTTCCCGGCATCCTTCCCTGGGCCAGGTGTGAGGCTGACATTTATCACACTGGTTCGAAACCTCAATGCATCCTGCAAGTTTCACAGATGAGGAAAAAGAGCCCAGGAAGCTGGAGGGATGGCAGCGCCGGGTGAGCCTAGGGGTCTGTCTTTCTCATCAGACCATGTTTCTCCCTAGTGAGGTCAGAGACAGCTCCTATGCAGACACAGGGAATGGCCCCAAATGTGCAGATGTCACAAAAACCAGAATAGTGGTATCTACGCTGGATGACAGAGGCCGGAACCGTGCAGCCCTCTTCAGGCCAGGCCAAATCTCAGAAGAGGGAGCTTCCATGCAAGGCTCTTGTGCTGAAAAGCCACTACCCAGAACTGGCCTGTGGACTGGGGTCCCTTAAGGAAATGCAATTCAGTAAGATCCTGCCCGCTTCTACATCTAATAACCCCTCGAATGGCAAGCAACCCACCGCCTTCACCAGCTTTTCCAACGCATATACATCGTGAACACACTTGGGAGACAGGACAGTGCACCTGGTTTTGGGGCCGATGACTCAGGAACTTGTCACTTGCTCACCCTCCTGGGATGAAACAGACGAACCAGGGACCAGGCGATGGGTTAGTTAGGCAAACCATCCACCCACCCTAGCACCTGGGCCAGAATCACCGTGTCCTGGACCCGCAGGCTTCCTGCCACAGCTGGGTCTGCGTCACATGTTCCCCCACTGCAGTTCAGTCTCCAAGAAGCTGAGTGGGGGGGAGCAGATGTGTCCAGCTCCCCATGGGGTTACATGGGCTGCTCCAGTGCCTCCCCCGGCTGGCTGCTTCTCATCAAGAGGGAATTTTTATTCTGCACAGGAAAGGTTAGGTGGACCCTGCACTGGTGATCTCCTGTCATTGTTACGCCACAGAACTGAACATGGAAATGAACAAGGAAACTCGATCCCCTTCTCAGGCGAGTTATTCCTAACTCCGCCCTCGGTCCTTGCCTCTCCCAGCCTCGGTGATAATTAGCTTGAAAGTGGGAACCGGAGTGTGGTCAGCAAAGGAGGGACTTCTGGTTAGGCACTGAAATACGAACAGATTACCCACCCGTCTTCTTTATTTGGAAAGGCCCTCGAAACTGCCTTTCCTTCTGCTACCAAAACTTGGGCCCTAGAAAGCGGCTGCTGCGTGGAGCAGATGGATGTCACTGGGAGTGGCGGGGGAGGGGCTGTGTTTTCTAAGGAGGGGTCATGGCAGCCCATGTGGGCCTGGCTGAGGGCCGGGAAGGGAAAAAAACCAATCTAGCATTCAGGTTGTGGAAGGCAAAGTGAAACAAGAAGTCATTTGGGAAAATATTATATTATAAACACATAGAATAATATGTACACACTCATATACATCCCGAAGATAAGCCACAAGGAATTCCGTTTCTTCTCAAAAGAAGGCTTCACTATGATAAAGCATTCCTATAGTGGGGATTGACTACAATGAAATAATTTAAGAATTTCATTTATACTAGATCTGTGTTCACTACAGAGTCTACGGTAAAGGCTGTGTGGAGGCGAATGTGTCTAGCAGATTAGAACACGAACGTGTTCTTCAAAAATAGGCAATGACCTTTCTTCTCTATTCACATTGACAATAGCGACACAGTGATGGAACGCAGACTGAAAAGCCGAGTGGCAGGACGATGGGACTGTCGTCAAGGTTCTCAGACGTGTGGCTTCTGGACCTGTTAGACTTTTGGACACGAGTAATCTCCACTTAGCTTTGCTAAGATTAGAAATTCCCATGAAACACTTACCCACATATAAATTCTGTGTAAAGCTTTATTTTTTCCCCACCTACTTTAATTTTTTTAAAAAGTGAAAGAAGAGGAAAAACTCTTATAAAACATAAGGTTTAATATACGAGAGCAAGGAACACCCCGGGGGCTGCCAGCGCGCGTGGCTTTGCGTTTCTGTGCTATGTGAGTCCAGTGTCCTAGTCTTCCATCGTGACAACCCTTCCCCACACTGTCATACTGCCAACGGGCTCTGGGCAAAGCCACCCTGTTTTCTTTTTAACCTGGGGGATGCCATGGTTTGGCTGACTACGTTTGATGATCACCACTGAAGGCAGCTGACTTTGGAAGCAGCCGGGTACTCGCACAGAAGGCCGGGCTGCGAGGTCAAGGTTGTCTGGTTCTCAGGAGCCAGTCTGTGCCACAGAACCATCGGCAGCTGCCTTCATAAGGCACCTCGGTCTGGCATTCAGAAAACCACCCTGTCCACCAGAGCCCCTTGGTCTTGGTTAGCAGAAGCCGTATCCGATCTAAATCATGCTTTCAATCACGAGAAATCACATTCCTTCTTTTCCCTTTCTAATATACTTCAGTGTGTCTTTTTTTTCCCTCTTTCTCAATTTTAATAAGTAAATTGTACCACCATCTTATTCTGAGATGTTCCTTTTTAAAAGCTGTAGATCACATTAATGGAAGTGTTTACTGCTGGGAATATTTTCCATGTACAATGATCTGTAACTCTCTTATCTCAACTAGTTGCACATTATTAGTTCACATCCAGTTCAATTTATAAATTAAGAGAGGTGCCATTTGTCTGTACAAAAATCAATGCATATTTATGAACTTCTTTTATTCAAATATATTTTCACACATCTGATCTAAATACATAATACAGAAGCCTGTGTGACTTGGGCAATGCGGCCCAGGAGGGCCTGAGACGAACACATCCACCTCGGCAAAAGGACATAAAATCTCTCTTATGGCCGGAAAAAATAACCATGTGTATTTTGTGTATTTACTTAGTTTACGAAATATACTCGAAACGCTATTATTTGCTGAATTTGTGATTTCCTTTTGAATTTCTGAGTTATTCTTATTTATTTTTCCCATTTTGTTTTTGCACCAAAGAGACTGCCGTCAAATAATACTCAGCGACTGATTTCCTCTCTTTGGACTGAAAAATTAAACAGATACTAAATTATGACAGTGAATTTAGAAAGGAGGGCTCCAAGGGCTTGAAAGAACATGTCTGGGATAATATGATGCTTCTAAGAGTATTGCAATCACATCGCGGCAATCACCGGAGCGTGCCGCGTAACTACCTCCTCGGCTAATATGCTTTCTTCTCGGTGATGACTAATCATGTTCTATTAAACAGCAGTAATGCTGGAAGAACTCAACTATACAAGTGTAATGAAGCCAGTATTCTCCCTGGACAGATTAGCTACAACTGATTTGACACATACCATCATAGGGGCTTCAAACCTGACAAACTCTGTGCTTGCTTCTGATTTATGCCGTCAAGCTCCTCGGAGAAGAGATGGAATCCAAGTGTTCCGTTTGGTAGAGGTGAAATGTACTCATGTGCTTAACTGCCAGTTAAGGAAAGTTGCCCCTTCTCCTTGTTCCTCGCCTCCCCTCCCCCTTGCGTCCCCGTCTCTTGTGCCACCAGGACAAGGGTCCTGCGCCGTGTGCTATCATCAAAGAGCTGGGCCCGACACCCTCTCCTGTTTGTGGTTTAGGGGAGTTTATGCAAAGGAGCCACTTCTTCTGCAGTCTCCCGGCCGCCTCTTTGCCCCTCCAGGATGTCCAGGTTTTGTGATTTTGTCTGGGGTGAGGGTGGGTGGGTGGGTGGGAGGAGGCGACCACCAGGAAGAGTGAGGGGATGCGACGGGACTCACGTGCTGCGACTTCCGAGCGAGTGTGCGGTGAGGCTGCCGCGTGCCGGGTGCGGCAGGCGGGGGCACGGCGGCCCCTCAGATGATGGTGGGCACCCTCCCGCTGCTGTTGTTCCGGTTATTGTTTCTCCTGGACAGGTTGGGGGTGGCCATGAGCACGAAGCGCTCGTCGGGGCAGCCGTACTGCAGCAGCACGTCGATGCACTCCTGGCTGGAGGCCTGCCGGGCGTAGGCCAGCGCGGTGTTCCCGTGGGCATCGCGGGCCATGACGTCCACCCCGTACTATGGAGGCAACAGAGCCCACGTTAGTGTCATACAGCTTGTGATGAAGGGGAGGGCAGGGAAGCTTTCTCTCAGCCCTTGCACCTGGCTTGTGCCGGGACCGCGGGGCCAGCTACAGAACTGGCTGGGGCGCTGGAGCCTGCTGCTGGCAGCCTAAACCCGTGGCCAGCATATTATTTTAAGGAAAGAATATGTTTTTTTTTTTTTTTTTCCAACTGAAAGCTCCTCCTTCGTGTAATATTAAGGATATTTTGGGATAACTTTAGTTTTGCTGTTTCTATTTTGACTTTCCAATTGCGCAAAGAAAAAAAAGTCGTTTTGATCTCAGAGGGAATTTTCATTATAAAAAAATACATAAATAATAGTGCAAGAAAAAAAAATCACCCATAATCTTGCTATTCAGAGATAGCCTCTGTGAATTAGTGTATTTCCTTCCAACGGTTTTTTTTTTAAAAAATCTAAATGTATATATGCATAACTGAGATAAAACTATACAAGTAATTTGTATCCTGTTTTTTATTTTTATTTTTTTTACCAATCACTGATCACTGGACTGTGAGCATTTTCTTTTTTTTCTTTTCTTTTTTTTTTTTTTTTGAGATGGAGTTTCACTCGTTACCCAGGCTGGAGTGCAATGGCGCGATCTCGGCTCACCGCAACCTCCGCCTCCTGGGTTCAGGCAATTCTCCTGCCTCAGCCTCCTGAGTAACTGGGATTACAGGCACACACCACCATGCCCAGCTAATTTTTTGTATTTTTAGTAGAGACGGGGTTTCACCATGTTGACCAGGACGGTCTCGATCTCTTGACCTCGTGATCCACCTGCCTCGGCCTCCCGAAGTGCTGGGATTACAGGCTTGAGCCACCGTGCCCGGCCGCATTTTCTTACATCATTAAAATGACTCAGAGGCATGGCACGAGCTGCAGCAGCTTACTTCAGCCCAGGAGTTCAAGACTAGCCTGAGCAATACAAGGAGACCCTGTCTCTACAAAGAAACACATTTAAAAAAAATTAGCTGGGCATGGTGGCGTGTGCCTGTGGTCCCAGATACTCAGGAGGCTGAGGTGGGAGGATTGCTTGAGTCCAGGAGGCAGAGGCTGCAGTGAGCCGAGATCACACCGCTGCACTCCAGGCTGGGCAACAAAGTGAGACCCTGTCTCCCCACCCCGAAAAAGCATGACGCATGCTAGTCATATGGTACTCCACCATAGAACCCAATTCAGAACTCTCCTGTCACTGCTGAACATTAGGTAAAAACTGTCACTGGAAGAAACAGTCCCTGATGTATGTCCTCGCACAGAATCTTCCTCAGGGTCTGTGATTAGTAAGTGATGATTAGAAGGGGGGAAATTCCAGGTTAAAGTACACAACATTTTTAAGACTTTTGCTCATGAAAAAGTGTGAATTCACTTCCACTTCAGCCAACTCACAATGTGTGGGACTTACAGGCCACTCAGCAGCACGGAACGACACCCATCAAAGGAATTTTTGTGCAATTTGGGAAGGAAAGATGGCCTGCAATTTATAAGTATGTCCCCCGCTCCCACCAACAATTCATATGTTTAAGTCCTGACACCCAGTACTTTAGAATTTATTTGGAGATAGAGCCTTTATGGTGGTACAGAAGCTTAAATGAGGTCACAATAGGGTTAGTATCTAGATGAGAAGAGGAAGAGGCTGGGTGTGGAGGCTCATACTTGTAATCCCAACACTTCGGGAGGCTGAGATGAGAGAATTGCTTAAAGCCAAGAGTTCAAAACCCATGGGCAATATAGTAAGACATTTACAAAAAGTTTTTAAAAAAATTATCATTCATGGGGGTGCATGCCTGTGGTCTGAGCTACTTGGGAGGCTGGGGTGGGAGGACTGCTGGAGCTCAGCAGTTTGAGGTGACAGTGGGCTATGATTGTGCCACTGCACTCTAGCCTGGACAACAGAGCAAGATTTTGTCTCAAAAACAAGGTGGTCAGGGAAGGAAAGATCTACCAGGAGCGAGTGCAGAGGAAAGGCTGTGTTCTCGCAGGGAGAAGGCGGCCGTCTGCCAGCCACGGAGAGGCCTCAGCAGAAACCAACCCTGCCGGCCCTTTGATCTTGTACTTCCAGCCTCCAGAACTGTGAGAAAATAAACGTCTGTTGTTTAAGCACCCTGTCTGTGGTATTTTGCTGTGGCAGCCCCAGCATACTACATACGACTCTTATTTGCGTTACATCACATTTGACTGATGAGCAGAAGCATCGGAGGGCTTCTGGTGTAGGATCTGTACATCCCATCTCTGTGCCCATCAAAAAAGTCAGACCAAAAACATGCAGAAACCTGCAGCATTCTACATGTGCTGCTGTGGAACCTGCTGCTGTGCTGACCCATCCTGCCTTGCGGGTAGAGACAGAAGAGCCTCCTGCTGGGTGACCCACCACTGGGTGCTGCCCCCAACTCCTGGGCACACACCTGCTTTCCCTACCTGGGGAGCCTCCCTGCAGGCAGCTTTCTGCCCGCCTTGGGTGAGGACCTGCGGTGGCTGAAGCCCCAGGGGATCACAGGCAGCCCCCATGTGGGCGTGAGCTTCTCAGACACAGCCCCCGGGTGGCACAGGCAGGACCTCTGTATAATCACTTTATCCTTCTCTTTCGCTCATTTGAACACTGTGACAAATGCTTCAATAGGAATGTAAAGAACAATTTTCCCCAGTAGAAATTAATCAGAATGGTCCAAAAGAAGCCCTTTGACAAACTCCTACCACATCAAACCTCAAAGCTTAGGGTCCAGTATTTCTGGGTTAAGTGAATAAAAACACCAAAGGTTTGGAAAAGGGGAAACCCTACGAGCCCTCCAGTTAATACACCCCCTTTCCTCCAAAAGATGATGGAAATGAAAAAGTGGGACACCCCCAACCCTGCCTGACAAGGGGCAATCCCAAACGTGCAATTTCCGGAAACTCCAGCAAGTGCTGTACACGGAGGCCCGACTGTCTCTGAATAAGGTCCCGTGCACTTCAGTCTGAGTTTCCCATTAGGAGCTCTTCCCACTTGCAGATGGAGAACAGCCTTCTGCCAGAAAGATGCCCACGGAAGCAGAACAGAGCAGAGTGCCCCCTGCAGCCCCATCCTCCGCCAGGCGTGCCGGCCACCTACCCAGATGAGGAGCTGCGCCAGGACCACGTTCCCCTTGCGGCAGGCCAGGTGCAGCGCTGTGCGGCCGTCTCCCTCCCCACAGGTCTCGTTCACCTCGTCCCGGGAGCCGTGCGCCAGCAGCAGGATGGCCGTCCGCAGGTCCTCGTCAGCGGTGGCCCGCAGCAGGTGCTGGCCCAGGGACAGCTCCGTGCAGGGGAGTGGGGCCAGGAAGAGCTTCTGCTCGTACTTGGCACGAATCCACCGTTCCTTCTCTTCCCTGCAAAGAGCCACCAGACAGGTGTGGTCACCATCAGGCGAGAGAACACGAGAACCAAGAGGGAAGTGAAATAGCAGAAAGCAAGGGTCTTCACTCGGCACAAAGCCCCATGGGGGAGAGGTTAATCCACCTCCACAAAACAGTATCCTCACCAGCAGCATCAGTCCAGAAATGCAGGTTCTCAGGCCACGCCCCAGATGCCCTGTATCGGAACCTCTCCGGGCATTTTAACAAGCCCTGCAGGGGGGTCTAATAGCCCCCAGCTGTGAGAGCCGCTGATCTCAGGCTCATATATTGCCTTGGTGCTCTCCATTTCTGTCACATTTCATGTAGAAGCTGTCCTTGGAAAGAAAGCTCGATAGTGAGGGCTCAAGGCTGTGGCCTTGGTTCAACGGCTCACACACCCCGACGCATGGGGGAGCCACCCTATTGCCTCGGATCCGCACGACGGAAGCATGGGCTCCGGGGCTGAGAGCTCAGTTTCACTTTAAGCAAGAAAGACTGTAAGTCAGGACTGTAGGACACCTGGCTCGAGTCACAGAGGGTGGGGGATGGCTAGTGCGCTCCCCACACCTGGGGGTGACCATGTGCTCTTAGCTCCGAACTCCGAAACAGGCGGTGTGTGTGGACTCTCTGGGTCTCCAAACCATTTCAGCTGCAGAAAACACGGCAACAGACTCCCGCAGGAGAGGGCTGAGTCTCCAGTGAGGAGCTTTAGAAGGGAGATGCAGCTTTTGGAACCTGCAGATACTTGGGGATGGCTTAAGCGGAGGGGACAGATGTCAGGAATTCCTTAAATGACAAAGAACGGCGGGATTTTCTGAGGGAAATTGTTCCAGGGCCTGGGAAGCTGGCAGGAAGCTCCTGGAAGCCAGAGCTGAGCACAGAGGCAGAGGACAGGAGGAAGCTGGGGAGGGGTGGATGGTGCCTGCCTCCGCCCCCAGCGTCACAACCTGGCTGAGATGGGGCTGCCGGAGCTGGCCTCCTCTACAGAGGACGGGGACCGTGATCCACATCTGTGGGGAGGGCTGAGGAGGAGGAGGGGACAGGATGACACGAGAAGCTCAAGAAACGCAGGAGGAAACCGGAAGCGAGGCATGTTTACGTTGACCCAAAGGAAGGACCCCAGGCGAGCAGCTCCTGGACTCTGGCTACTGATGATGGTTTCTGGTTTCTCAAAAAAAGAGTATGAGAGATATTGAAAACTCAAGACTCTGCTGCACAGGTAGAGGGGGAAAGAAAGGTGAGGTCGTGGGGGACAAGAAGTTTTACAAACAATGTGAGATTTTACAAGTGCTGCTGAAATTTTATAAGGAGCCCGGGGTAGAGCCTGGCCAGGGAAGTGCTCCCCGCCTGCCTTTTTGACGAGGATGATGAAGAAAAGAGGCTGGGTATGATGGTTCATGCCTGTAATCCCAGCACTTCGGGAGGCCGAGGTGGGCAGATCGCCTGAGGTCAGGAGTTTGAGGCTAGCTTGGCCAACATGGCGAAACCCAGTCTCTACTAAAAATACAAAAATGTGCCAGGCGTGGTGGGCACCTGTAATCCCAGGTACTTGGGAGGCTGAGGCAGGAGAATCGCCCGACCCCAGAAGGCAGAGGTTGCAGTGAGGCGAGATTGTGCCATTGCACTCCAGCCTGGGTGACAGAGTAAGACTCCATCTCAAAGGAAGAAAAGAAAGTAGAAAGAGAGAGAGAGAGAGAGAGAGAAAGAAAGAGACAGACAGACAAAAGAAAGAAAAGCCTACATGTAAGAAGGGACCGCAGTTACCCACAGAGACTTCAATAACGCGCTGATTCACAATTGCCCCCTCCTAAAATTCAGAAGTTTCTCCAGGGGAGTAATCAGAGTACACAGCTACAAACGACACGGAGAAATCACTCAGAGCTTCTGCGAAAGTCTAGAAAGAAAACTCATTACCCGTGACATTTTTGCTTCCGAAACACAGAGGAAAGGCCTTGTTTACAGCTTTTACCCATGTTTACACTGCACCTAGTGATCCAGTGTCGAGTTAGCCCTAATCTGTTTTTAAATACTTAGGCAAACAAATTCTTCCAGGAGTAAATCTGGATTAGTTTTGCTTCACTTCCTGGTACATGTGAGTGACCCCAGGGTGACCCCCGATTCTTTTCATTTGGAGATTTCCAGGACAAACATTTGGCTACAGCTGAGAACTGACACCAGCTCCCAAAACGCAGCGGAGGCAGCCCCTGCACCCCACCACTAGGGCAAAAACCCACGCACAAAAGCACTGACAGTGTCTGGGAAATACGGGTTACGGAGACAGACAAAAAGAAGTAGTTCTGATAATACTTTAAATACCTTATTTAAAATGCATTAAACGTTTGTTGATGCATTTCATCAATCACAAAAGAGAAGGAGCAAAACGTGAATTAAATGAAAAGGGGTGGCGGTGAAGGATATGTCCAGATTTTCAGGTTCCAATTTGCTAACTCTCATTTTTTGGTAGGCATTAAAATCACAACTATTTTATTCTACTCTGATTGATTTCAGGAGTTGTTGCCAAATCACCCAGGGGTAAACCAGAGAGCTTAACATAGTAGCTACAGTGCTAACTGCAATTATTCCATTTTCTTTTGTATTTGAACACCCCAGCCAAAGAATGAGTACAAACCTACGGCTCGTGAACCTTTGGCTGTGTCAGTACGTTCTCCCCGGAACTGCTGGACTGACTCTGTCTCACATCTCACCCCAAGCTGACACACATCTGATGAGCTGTTCTTCACTTTTAAAAATCAGCATTGTTGATACCACCTTAATCCTGCAAGAATGGCTGTAATCAAAAAACAGTAGATGTTGGCATGGACGTGGCGAACAGGGAACACTTCTACACTGCTGCTGGGAATGTAAACTAGCATAGCCTTTATGGAGAACAGTGTGCAGATTCTTTAAAGAACTAAAAGCAGAACTACCATTTGATCTAGCAATCCCACTACTCGGTATCTCCCCAGAGGGGGAAAAAAAACCAAAATACTCATACACGCATGTTTATAGCAGCACAATTCACAATTGCAAAATCGTGGAACCAACTCAAATGCCCATCAATAACAGGTGGATAAAGAAACTGTGAGATATATATATATATACACACACACACACATATACACACATACACACACATATATGCATACATATACATATATATGATGGAATACTATACAGCCATAAAAAAGAATGGACTAACAGCATTTGCAGTGACCTGAATGAGATTGGAGACCATTATTCTAAGGGAAGTAACTTAGAAATGGAAAGCCAAACATCGTATGTTCTCACTGGTATGTGGAAGCTAAGCTATGAGGACACAAAGGTGTAAGAATGATATAATGGAGTTTGGGAACTTGGGGTGAAGAGTGGGAGGGGGTGAGGGATAAAAGACTGCAAACAGGGTACAGTGTATACTGCTTGGGTGATGGGTGCACCAAAATCTCACAAATCACCGCTAAAGAACTTACTCATGGCTGGGCGTGGTGGCTCATGCCTATAATCCCAGCACTTTGGGAGGGTGAGGAGGGTGGGTCTCTGGAGGTCAGGAGTTCAAGGCCAGCCTGACAAACATGGTGAAACCCCATCTCTACTAAAAATACAAAGTAGGTGGGTGTGGTGGTGCGCACCTGTAATCCTACCTACTCAGGAGACTGAGGCAGGAGAATTGCTTGAACCCAGGAGGCGGAGGCTGCAGTGAGCTGAGATTGCACCACTGCACTATAGCCTGGGCAACACAGCTACACTGTCTCATACAAAAAAAAAAAAAAAGAAAAAGAGAAAAAGTAAAAAAAGAATTTATTCATGTAACCAAATACCACCTGTACCCCAATAACTTATGGAAAAACTCAGCATTGTTTAAACTTTGTAATAAAAGGTGGGTCCAGGTTTTGTGGGGCTAAAAATGTATACCATTCTGGAAGCCTCCTTTAAGAGAAAGATTCTAGGATTCTGTACGTGAAGTTAGGAAGAGGGCCTGGAGGAGGATGGTAGAAGGGACAGCCCCGAAGGTTCAGGCTTCCTGATAGAAACTACTGCAAGAGCTGAAACCAGTGATTCGTAAGGGCTTGAAACCCTCTAACAATTCAGATCCAGAAAACGGGGTTTCGGTATTGGGGAGTGTCATCTCGGAATGCTGCAGAGAAAGGAGGTAAGCACCAAGTCCCTTGGTGACTCCTTAGCAGGATCAGCCTCCCTGCGGGCTCCACGTCCACGTGACCTCCTCTCCCTGCGCCACCGACGCCCCCACATCTGTTCCTGCGGCTTTCATCACCTGATGGAACCAAAGCTCTTCACCCAAACTTCCTGTGCTACTTAAAAACACAAGCTTCCGGCCGGGCGTGGTGGCTCACGCCTGTAATCCCAGCACGTTGGGAGGCCGAGGCGGGTGCATCACTTGAGGTCAGGAGTTTGAGACCAGCCTGGCCAACATAGTGAAACTCTGTCTCCACTAAAAAACACAAAAATTAGCTGGGTGTGGTGGCACATGCCTGTAATCCTAGCTACTTAGGAGGCTGAGGCAGAAGAATTGCTTGGACCTGGGAGTTGGAGGTTGCAGTGAGCCAAGATCGCACCATTGTACTGCAGCCTGGGTGACAGAGTGAGACTCTGTCTAAACAAAAGAAAGCAAAACAACAACAACAACAACAACAACAACAAAACCAGAAGCTTTCAATGCTGACTTCTGAGTCCTTTGGGACTGCAATATTTCATTGTTTCCTCGGATACTAGGAGGTAGCCAGGGAGTTAGGGGCAGCCACTGGGCTTTGTGTCTGCATCAGAAGTGATTCTTGTTAGAGGCTGAAATTTAACCAGTATGAAGACAGGACTCGGACAAGGGCAATGGGCTGTTTGGGTGCTAATTCAGCAACCTCATGCATGTCAGCCACCTGCTGTGACTTGAAGCCCACCTCCTGTGGCTGTTCCCTTCCTGATGCCAGGGGGGAAAGCTTAGCTCTCTGCACTTTCTTCAATGGCAGGAAAAAGAAATCTCCTCA